GGGGCTTTGGGAAAACTACGCTGTGACGTGTTCCCCAATGGGACGATCTCTTAACAAAGACCCGCCGGTTCCCCCCTCCCCCTCCCCCGCACACGCACCCTACAAGCACCAGAAGCAGAACTGTCTCAGTGTCAGTTGCGCCGTGCCGAAATCCTTTGGTCTCGCTCCGGGCCTTGTTAGAAATCCATCGGGATTTCCCAAATTCCACGATATAGTGTTTCCTCGAAAAGTACACAGGTCTCATTTCATATAACTTAATGAGTGCCATCGGAATATAAACTTTATGTAATACATTAACAAAATTGATCTGACAGACCTTTGCCTCGGGGTTGTGACAGCGCGTTACGAGGACAACAAATGTCCATATCTAAGAACATGTCTGAGACACTTGAAAATCCTTGCCAGAATGCCCACGCTGTTCTATCTATATATCCCCGCAAAATGTAAGTTATCAATCAACATGATCACCCCAATTTCTCTCCATGGGGGTAGGGGTGCACGGTAGGGACAGGCATTTTCAGAACTCATCGAAACAAAGATCTCAAGGATAGGCTAAAGATACACCCTTCCCAATTTTAAACATGACACTATGGACAAACTACGCGTTAAAACTGGGCTTTCTTTGTGTTCAGACGACACACTCAAATCAATTCACATTTCTTGGACTCGGTGTTGAACTGCAAAGACTTTTTAAAGTCTAAGACCCCCCGCCCCAAGAACTCTGCCTCCTTCACAGCCTTGCACCCTGGTGCATAGTGAAAGGCAGTGAGGATAAGGACGCCAGTTGCGTGGGTGAAGTGAGAGAGACAAAGAAACTCCACAACCCGCAGAGGGCAACAGCCGGCTTTTGACAAGTTTCACAAGCAAATTAATAAGACCTCTGTCTATCAAAAATATTCTAAACTATAATTATACGATTGCATAATGTGAAACTTAGTACTTAACAGATAAGACTGAATCATGCAACGCGTCAATGAAGACAAAGCCCCACCCCAAATATTCTCTCTCTCTCTCTCTCTCTCTCTCTCTCTCTCTCTCTCTCTCTCTCTCTCTCTTTGCAGCTAGTTTGTGCATCAATGACACTACCCTCACAAATCCCAAT